GATTAATATGATACGCCCTCTTTTTATCCTTTTATATGTATATATAGGCCTATATAAAACAAAACAAAATCCAAGACGACATCAAAAACATTAAGAATACTCACATACATATATGTAAATATACATACACAAAAAAAACATACATAATAGGCCAAAAGATGTCAACACAATTAAACACGGGCGTGCATTCTTCTCTACAACATATAACAATGTGCATTGTCAACGTTTCTCTGCACGAGTATTCAATTTTTGTTATTTTCGTCTCCATATCTATACCCAACAAGCGCTCCCGTGATGCATTTCCACATAACGCACGCAGTAATTCATTTTTGTTGACACGATGCGAGTCTTTTTTGTTTTTTGCAGTATTAAACTATTAAAAATAAAATATACTTGTTGTATGCCATCTACACTCTCGTAAGCCCCAAAATAATCTCTCTTCTTTATTATCCAAAACAAAATATTTGTTTTTTTACATTTACATTGAAAATAAACAAGACATAAAATTTTAGATAAAAAGTGGTTGAAAAGAGGCAACCAATACCTATCGGGTACAACATCCTCTCAAAACAAATTACTACATAAAATAAAGCAAATGCTTCATTAATAGTTAGCACGTTAAGTGGAGAATGTTCCTGCTTCGGTGATTGAAATGAATTTTGTTCTTTACAGTACGGTAATGAATGCAGGTCCTCCACCAGGGCGATTTTTAAGTCTTTCGCCCTTCTGCCATACTCAATGTGGATGGATTTCGTCCGTTTTACATGTAGAAAGTGTTTTTGTTCATTAATTCTTTACACACCCCATGATGTTTTCGTTTAATTGTAAGCCATGATATTTGAATGAACGTTTTGCCGTTCCGTCAATCTGGTGTCCCCCAATGTACATATGAGGCACCATATAAAGACAATATACTACAGAAAAACAAGATATACACATTTAAGATATTTAATGATAGAAATTATTTTCAAACTTCAAAATCTTTTTGCTAAAAGGGTTTTTTTTCCTGGTGGCGGATCCAGGAATTCATAATAGAGTGGGGCCCAGGAAGGGACTTTCACAAAAGAAGGGTCTACCACCTCAGCCCCACCATAGTTGGCTGTTTCATAATATTTCTACCATCATGTCACTTTTGTTCAGGAATTCTTTAATCCCTCTCTTTCCTTTTCATACTCTGGCTTTAAAGTTTGTTTGCTTTCGTGGTACAATGATGATAACCTATAAATCTGCAACGATAGCATAAGAGCGTTCTTAAAAGAGTAAAAAATATTAGTTCTGCTGAAAACATGAAAATGAATGATGAGGACCATGCGAAGTACAAGGAAGGGGACATCTTGCAAACAAAGGGTCAACATGATTCCCCAGACTTCTGATTCTAGACACTGGCATTTCGGTTCGGTGTCCTCAACTTCAATGTCCTCCATTCTCTGTGGGATAATCAATCCAGAAACTTCTCCTAAATTCATGTTTGGATCAATGTATGTATCAGTTTCGCCATAACAGCAACATTTTTCAATGCATGTCTTTTCTTTGGCGCCCAATTTTCTTCGGGTTTTGCTTCTGCTCTCTTCTTCTTCAATACTATCAATGGCGTCCTGTGCGTCTCGCGTCATCGTAATTACAAATACAAACTGTAGTAAACTCCATGTCCACAGCGTTAAAACTGCATAAATTAATTGCCCGTTAAACTTTACCGGATCTTCTTTATAAGTCTCAAGAAATTCAATAATATCAGCAGCAAGTCCTATATACACTAATAGCAATTGAGAAAGCTTGTCACGTGATAGGGCACCAGCAGGCATAATCCACCGACCAATGATAAGTACAAACGGAAGAAATTGTTCAACTGCTAAAACTAACTGTGTTTGTTTGTCAGACTTGGGTAAGTCTTCAGTCGCCTAGAAAAATAAATTAAAATTAATGATAATACAGATTGAGAACATTGTAATCATTATTATTATTATCATCATCATTATTATTACTATTATAGTGTTTTTAATATTTTAAAATAAATTTAAACCACAAGGGCAGCCAAACGAGCTTAATCACTTTTCTAAGTGGCAATTTCGTCACAAGACAAACATACACACAAGATGCTTTACAAGTCAAATTATGAGGATTAGAGAGTGGGTTACTTTGATCATAAGAAAAATTCCTCTAACCCAGGACCATGGAATTATAAGGAACGCATCTTAACCACCACATTTTTGAACTCTACTCCAGTAATAACTTAGTTACCGTTTGTATTTGCTGCAATAACGGTATCGAACTATTCAATTCATATTTGAAATGAAGGCTAATGTTGTTGTACTCGTTCTGCCTATTCTCTAACAGTACCCCTTCCATGATCCACACCGACGGAACCACTGCCAGTAAGTAGAGAAACACACTTGGACAAATCCTGAAAATGTATTTAAAAATATTTGTCGATATTTGATAGGTAAATAGGTAAGTTCATTGCTTTCAAAAAAATAATATATACTATATACTGTATAAAGTACAATATTATGGTACGATGATTGTGATAAGTGAATAATGATACTATGATGTTGTAATGATATGACCAATAATGACATTAAACTTAATAGTAATAGTTGATAAGCATACCATCATGTGTTATTCCATCAGAAAATCACAAAACGTTATTATAACGTTCAAAAACGTTGTTGAAAATACATAACGTTGTAGCAGTGTTTGCAACGTTATTTACTCAAAAATTACATTATGAATGCGTATTTAGGGTTCTACAAAAAGTCGTTTTAAATACCAACCTGCAACATTATTATAACGTTAGCAGGGGGGATTTCAAAGGGTGAGCTGAGTTGGCCCCGGCCCCCATTTGGACATCAATAATTTTTTTTAAAGAAAGAAAAGAGAGAGCAGCTTAGCTCAGTCGGCTAATCTGGTGGTAGCCACTGTGTGTGCGCTGAATAGTGGAGATCTGTACGTCCCCGGTTCACTTCCGATCGCTGCCTCTCCTTGTGTTTCAACTGGAGGGCTGAAATACAAGTTACAATAGCTCACCGTCTTTCGGATGAGACGTTTAAGCCGTTGGTCCCGTGTGCATTTATGGCCCATGTGCACGTTAAAGAACACAGAGAGGGAGGGAGGGATTAAAGAATTCCTGAACAAAAGTACAGTCTTCAGAAAAGTAACAGATTGTCTCCCGGTGCACTGCCCAATCACCACCAGAAGGACCCTCACCAGAAGGACCCCACTGGAAATAAGTCTCCTAGACTTTCGTGGGCTATCCGTGTTTACACCGAATAAATCCAATCCAAAAATTATTGATCGCCCAAAACGCCTCAGAGGTCATTTCCTGACGTCAAAACAAAAAACAAACCTAGGGTACTGTTGTCTCTCGATTTGATCGCGCCCACCCCCTTTCATTTCTGGAAGAAAAATTGTTAAGGAAGATCTAATTATCCGGATGGTAAAAGTAGAGCATGATTTCTACATATTGTCAATTATCCATCAGAAATGTTATGCTGTTACGTTGCAAAATTAATATTTGAACGGTAAATTGGATTGCACTTATTTTTCACATCTTTCTGCACTGATGTACAAGTAATAGGTCTTATTTCTTATATTAGTACATTTTAAGATTACTGGCCAATTGCGTATAATAGTGAGTGAAATTAATTTGGGCCTACGAGGAAGCCTGTGGATCAATAACACACATGCTCAATCCACTAAGAACTAGATTTTGCAACAAAACTTTCTTAAAACGTAATATTATTTTCAAAAAACGAAGCATAACATAATTATATGAAACTCAACATGGTCATTGTGTATAAAATTGTTTACTAGTTATTCAATTCACCTAACATCCGTTTCATGTGAACAACTAATAAATATTAATATTTGGTTCACATTTAGTTGCTAAGCGACACCAATTTACTAAATAGTGCGCGGCGGTATTGTTATTGGATTCTAATGAAATTCTGTTGTTGGAAAGTACAAGTATATGATACTTGATGATTAGAAATTAGACAGGAATTTGTCCAATATTCATCATACGATGTCCAGTCTAAATCAACATCCAAGATTCTAAAATGCGGAGGCAAGCAGCAAAAGTCGTTTTCGTAAAGTATGAACGACAATTGGTGGGTCTTCGTTTCGAATTCCGATAATTAAGTACTGTTTGTTTAGGTTAATAGTTATGATTTATTTGTTAATGTCCCAATCTGCATCATTGTGAGACCAGCCAGTTTTGGCTGATGGGTGACAACATAAACATTTCTCGATATAAATACACTTAAAATATAGGGAAAATTGACGAAAAAATATATGACAAGACACATTATTTTTTTTCTTTTGACAAATGTTGCTGAACCCTTGTCATGGTACTGTGTAACTCATCACACTTGATTGGTAGACAGAAAGGGCCACGAACACCGTCTGACATTACAAATTTCTTTAAATTCGTGAGCTCCAATGCCGTAGCCAGCTACTGGGACAGTTGAGACAGTCCCACACAATTTTTCTATTGTGATCACAAAGAATGGGTTCACATTTTTTAAAAAATGGGTTTAATAATGTTGTTTTTATGCACAAAATGAGTCCACTTTTTTAGAAATGGGTCAGGATTTCTCATATTTTACGTAAAGTGGTCATCTTTTAAGAAAAATGGTCCAGATTTTTCCCATGTGTAAAATGGGTCAGCTTTTTAAGCAAACAGGTCCCCACTATTCGAATTTACGCGTAAAGTGGGTTCACCCTGATACTGTCCCACACTGTTTGAAAATCCTGGCTACGGCATTGGTTTATTTGTGACATTGTTGAACTTCAAAATCGATCGCTATTCTATCATTCCTTCACCCTTCTCTCCTCAAAACCTCTTAGAGCTATTGTCCAAACTGCTAATTAAACAAATCTCATGGCTATCACATTTGCTGATTCCCGTCTTAAAACGAAAATGTCCGATTACAGTATTGTACTTCTGTGACACCAAATTGAGTTTGATAGAACATCAGCAATTTATACACGCAAATTGTTTTGCAGGCCATATACAGTACATCTTTATCGATCAGTTGTAGGCTTAATGTGCGACGGACTTCAAAAGATGAGACAAAATAAGAGACCTTGGCCGACTTTGAGTGTTATGAACTCTTTATTATACTAGAATAGTTCTATTAACACATAAGCTTCCGCACAGTGTACGACGTGATGGGCCTATTTCACCACAGTACCAGGCACTGTTCTTAACTAATCAGTTAACGCTTATTTGATTAGTTCAGGTTTAATGACAAGTGTCTCTGAGAAGTTTGAACATTTACACCAATGGACTTGATTTAAGGTGTTAACGAGCATACGTCAAAGTGAATGGTCGAAGGCAGAAATTTGTATGTGTACATTAATATAATATAACCGTTAATTAAGTGGCAATTCCACTTAGATATAAGAGAGTTTGTAATGGCAAAAGAATTCTTTCCATACAATATGTAAACATGACTATTGTAGTACCAGTTGAAACTTCATATTGGGAACACCGTATTGATTTCTATTCTTGTCACTGAGAGTATTATCAATACGAAAAAGTTCCTTATGAATTGTTTGAAAAAGCTCTCCCGGCGGGAATTGAACGCAAAAATTTTCGATCAATGCGAGGGGGTTATACAAGTCGTTGATGGCGAGTCGAATGGCCGAGCAGTTAGCAGGGGCGCCGCATGCCAACCTACAGCTATAATATGCGCTGGTACGAACGGCACGTTCGCCTATGGGGGGGCGGGGGGCTAGTGGAGCGAATCGAGTCCCACTTGGCTGGGGGCCAGGGGGCCGCTTAGGGCCCCGGATATTTGATGAATTATGGCGAATTTGTATTACTTATCTGATAGGCATCGAGTTACTATAATATGACTTCATGTAGGCTATGCTTTCTAATGTTGAAATCAGCTTCCAAAACCAACATTTTGAATAAAACAAGAAACAAAGAGTATGCAATCTAACCATCTATTTTATTTTCAAATCCTCATTCTTGAAAGTGAAATTCTATATTTTGAAAATTTTGCATGAAATCTGTCAACCACGCTGTCATGGTCGAGGTTGCTTCACCTATCACGATGTATTCCAACCATCATGAGGCTATCTAAAAGCAAATTATTTTTAATTAGTCTCATTGAATTCTTCTTCTTCTTTTTCTTCTTCCTCTTCCTCTTCCTCTTCCTCTTCCTCTTCCTCTTCCTCTTCCTCTTCCTCTTCCTCTTCTTCTTATTATTATTATTATTATTGATGCCATGCCCGATACGATCAATACCATCATTGTTCCTTCATTCGCGCAATATTTCTACCAATGATTACTTGTCTTCCATTTTGCTTTTTAATATTATGTATTATGTATTATATTCTCATAGTATTTCTTATTTTACCGTTCAGATTAGCTCATTAATAGGCTTATTATCAGCATCACTGCGGAATAGTTTTTTCTTTTTTAAATATACCATTAATCTTCATAGTTACAGTATACGATCGCGCGAATACGGGTCCTGATGCAAAAAAAAAGTTAATGAAGATGCACACGGTATACATTGTCACGGTCGCAGACTTTCATCACAATTACCGCTTATGAAGTGGCATATATTATTTCAATATTACTACATTGTAGTCTACTTTATCGCTTTATATAAAGTATGCCATTATATTATACACATATAATTAAGTTAATTATGCTTCAATGACAGCTAAACTAAAGCAAAACTTAACCATTGTTTGGCTGAAGAAACTAATTTAAGGATTAGTTAGCAATCTCTCTGTATACCCGATGACGTCAGAAACCGTTTTTCGGTGGTTGGATCAATAAGCAATGCGTGTTTATTCGATAATTCACACTGACACGAGGTGGCCCCTTCAACTATTGTTGAAACTTAAAAATAGTGTTCAAGTGGATGGGCTGTAGTGGTTATAATAAAAATCATGAAGCAAAAAGATACAAAAACTGTACACAAAGTCTGTAATGCATAGGCCTAATATTATGGTACGGTAAGAATGGCCCCGGAAAAAATGGCCCAGGAAAAAATGGCCCCGGTAAAAATGGCCCCGGTAAAAATGGCCCCAAATGACAGGTAGGTAAAAATGGCCCCATAAAATTCTGTATTAAAACTGATTTTTTTAAAAAAATCATTATATGCATTTCTTTTAACTGAAATAATTTAGTTTTTAAAAAGGAATCTAACATCAAATAAATTGCCATTTACATTTTACTTTGTGCAGGAATTACATATTCAACATTGATAAAATATTCAAAGATAAAAAAAGCCATGAATAACACTTTTTATTTTTTTTCCCATTTACATGTTAAAAAATATCAACAATATAATCAATAAATCAACATAAATCATGCATTTAAATACTAAAATAATTTATTTGTGGCCAATTTCATGGAATCACAATTTTCCAGAAATTCAATCCGGGTATTAGTAAACCCCACAAAAAACAATGAGTTTATATGAACATCAAATTTTATTATTATATTTTTTTTAATAGTTCTACAATCATAATTAAAAGGTTTGGATGGGGTTTGCAGTGTGTTTGGAGGTTTGTGGTGTATTTGCAAGTATTTTTTTTCACAAAAAAATCAACATTTTAACCAAAAAATAGGTTCTTAAGAATATTTAATTTTCTTATTGATATACCAAGTGAGTCAATCAAAATTGAATTGTTTGGTTTTCTACATTGTGTTTTGGGAGGTTTGTGGGATTTAGAAATACCATTTAATCCTACCATAATTACCCTACCCTCACAATTACCCGCCATTTTAATTCTTAGCATAATTGCCATATTTACATACGTATATATAGTATCTCAGTTTATATTATTTAGTATAGTTTTAGGCACTTAAATTTAGTTGGCGGGGAAAAACCAAGTATGCAATTAAATAAGTTGCTTAAATAAATGTAGGCCTATTCCTAATTATTCAGTTTACTTTAAAAACAATATATGATTAACAAATACTTCTTTGAAGTAACTCTAAGCAGAACATTTATTGCTAAGTTTGTGAGAAAGTAAGCCTCTCCCTTTTCACATGAACTTGTGATTAAAACACACAATTGATCCACATGCTTTAACTACTGTTTATAACATGTAAAGTTATTTTATTTGATACTTAACAAAATGAATTTTGTGGTTATCTATGAGCAGCATATTTTGGTAGTTGAAGTATTGTATGTATGTCATTCCTCTACTTTGTTAATGGAATAACGTTTTTAAAACTTATTTCTACTATCAAAAAATGTTATTCAATGGCCATTGTTTTCCGATAATCTCTCAGTACATTATTTGCATCCGTTGTGTAACTGTATTTGTCATTGATTCAATTCTTGCTTTTTACAGCTATTATTTAAATATTCGAAGATTAAAAAAAAAATTATTTCTATTACTGAATTTTTTCATTGGGGCCATTTTTATCTACTTGTCAATTGGGGCCATTTTTACTGGGGCCATTTTTACCGGGGCCATTTTTACCGGGGCCATTTTTTCCGGGGCCATTTTTTTCCTTGGCCATTTTTTCCGGGGCCATTTTTACCTAACATTCAATATTATTGTAGTACAGTTTACCAATGTGAAATAATATATCTATAATTAGTTGTAATACTCCTGTCAGGCACATGGAAATTATAACAGATACTAAAAAGTAAAAAATGAGTTAATATTTAGATAAACTATTTTATATTTTGTATAAATTTGAACCGATTACCAAAACTGAAGTTATCTTGAGTTTTATCCATCAAATAATTCCCTCAAAACATAATTAGCAATTACATCTTACCCCCTCCCCCTGAGATTTTGATGTCATCTATTGTTTGTGTTTCTCTTGTGAAGATCATCAGTCCCCAGATCAAAAGGCAGAATGAGTTCCGTGTGAGCGTAAAAGAAGTCCAATAAATGCAGATTAGGCGTTAAGCCTGGAGCACAAGGACATTGGCCCACAAATTGGAACATAAGAAAGTAGTCACTGAGAGAATTTCAAAGAATTATTACGTCATTAGTCGATCGCGATCCGATTTATGCCTGTATAAAGGTCTTTCAGATGTTATTTGCATCGAATAAAGAATTTAAAAAATAACAATGGTTTACAGACAACAATACGAAAGCATGCGAAAGTAAAAACATATTTTCGTATAATGCTGTTAAAAGTAGTCTACACTACTTTCACACTTACAAAAGTACAAGAGATACACTGCATTATGCCTACATTATATTTTATTTTATTTTCGTTATAGCCAACATTCGCTTGTTACACATACTGAAATGACCCGTGGACTGGTCAAAATGTTTTGAATAAATATAATGATATATATATATATGTATATTATATTATATATATATATATATCATATATATATATATATGAATATATGCACATATACAGAAACTTTATCAAAAAAAGGTAAATAGTTTTGTTGACATAATATAAGACGCAACAAGTATACAATTGCCGTAAAATTTATATAATTAGGCCTGACATTTGAATGGGGCAAAGAATACTATAGAATTAAAAAGAGGAAAAGTAATCTTGTGTGTTGTATTCCTTCAATACATAGCCGTCGGAAGCATTTCGCAAATGGTCCAGCCATTATAGAAATAGCAGGATGGGGAGGGTGGGGGCGCTTAAATTTTGAAAATATGACACCCTAGACAGTGGCGTATCTAGTTTAAGGCTATTTTAATTCATATGAAGAAAACAAATGTATATCTCTATTGTGAAAATGATAAATTGATCAAAATTTTATTTCTAATTAATGCCAAATATAGATGACTTGAGTTTCTTATTTTCTCATGAATAAATAAAGGCAATGAACACGAATACACAACGTGCAGGGTATTGTGAAATATTACGGTAACAATATGCAATTAAATTTTGCGAATACAACAGGATGCAATATTCGATGCATTATATTTGGAAATAGGCCTACAAATTAATGAATATCGTAGAGTTTCAATTAACATAGAGATGGTACAATTTAATTTCACTTACTTGCCAAATTAAGTAAGTATTATTATGGGATCCCCGAAATTAGCAGCTGGCAATTGTAGAGCCGCTAAATCCGAATAGTCTGCCCCAAAGGGACCTACCTTAGCCCTACCATGGTGGGCCTGATGTGAATAAATTTTGAAAATATGGCATTTCTAGATGCCCAGAAATAGAAGCTACTTCTGTTCCAACGCAATTATGCAGGGGCAGATACGGGATTTAAATTTGGTGAAAGTGGACAAGTATAGATACATATCCATCCAAGATTTACCATGGTTAAAAAATGGCTTCTCTGCCGAGAAATAGCACAGCACATGCATACTTCAAAAAATGAATGTCCATCACTTTGGATTTTAAATTTTAATTGCAAGAAATCAGGGCCGGCTTGACCGGTATACCGTGTGGTGATGACAATATTGGTCGACTCAAACCGCCAACATTTTAAGGGGTTTACGTAAATTTATATCTCTAAACGTTTTCAAAATCAATCTTATTTACTAAAATTGAGGAGTCAAACAAGTTGAAATGTACATAGGCAATACAAAAAGAAGCGCATGATGTTTTTTTTTTTTTTTTTTTTTTTTTTTGGTTTAAATACTGTGTAACATTACAAACAAAGACAATGTGATACGAACATTATTAATAAATTCATATAATCCATAGGCATAAGTAAATAGTTAGGCCTATTAGTTTAAAAAATTAATAGAATTGAGAAGTGGTCCGGCCAAAGTGCGGCCGGTGCGGTTCAGAAGGCCCTGCAATAGTAAACAGTTTAATCCGTTAAAAATGACATATGGGTAGAATTTAAAAGATAGGATATCTACTTACCATTTTAATTCTTTCCCTTTTCTTCTTGTAAGAGTGATGACTGCTTCTAACAATAGGGGGATAACCGCAATACTGAGTCCCCAGTATGTGGTGTCCGACGTTACAATCGTCAGGATGTAAATAGCAAATAAGCTATGCAAGGCAAAAATTACGCGCGTTAGAATCGCTTTAAAATAAGACATCGTAGATGTTACAGTGAATAATTGTCAACAGGTTAGGAATCTTTGATACTTCGGTGGTGCATAAAAGAACACCTCGATTTAATAATAGGCATCTGTAGCTATTTACTTGCCCTCGTTATCCCTCAGTACTTTTGGCATCCTCTTATCCATTTTAATGTCGCTATCGTAGACATCCATGTTGTCTCACGAGGATACCTTTTACCCTTACAGATGTTTTATATTTTTATAAGCAAGAACTTAAAATTTGCGAAGCGTCCAATAATTTTGATTCTCGTTTGATATCAACACGCGGCAAGGATTAATTCACTCGTTTCATTGACAACCAACTATGTCAACTTAGACGCATGCGCAATCATAAAGATTGGGCTCCTCTCTCTGGTGTTTGACTATATTATGAATTTTATGGAACGCAGATCACGCAACAATTCCATGAATACAATTCAGCCTCGATGTGATCAAAATGCTTCGATAATGAAAGATTGCATCCATACTTAAACATGAAAGAATAATCGATAAACAAATCATAGAATTATATAACCCATCTAATAAAACAAAAACACAAAATCCATCGAAAAAATTGATTATTCGATTCAGTAGGAGATTGTAAATCTGCTCTCCACAGACTCACCCTCTTCGATGATGAGGATTAAGGCTGACTTAAGGAGAAAATGAAGGGCCAATAGAATCGATCGTTATTGAGCGATAGGCTTTGTTTCGCTATTATTCAAATTCCGAATGGTTTTGTTTCTTTATCTTTGCTTGCATAATGTTTGACGTTGTCATTCTTTTTTTTTCTTGTATTATTAGTAAATGAGCATAAGAATGTGCACTAGTTGGCATGTGATTGTGTTGCGCCTGTATAGGCCTGAAGTTGTATTTTGATCACATAATGGTAAAGTAGGCCTACTAGCTTATGATTATAGTATAATACAGGTCTCCCTCTATTATTTTTGTGTAATAAGTAAATTGAAAAAACATAGCGTCTTGCACTCTGCAGGGGATTTGTGCGCTTTACAAATCTTATTATTGTATTTATTATTATTATTATTTAAAGATCACTTCGTGTACAACAGGTTTATGATTATTGTTCAGTACCTTTGGTATTTTATTCCGTAGATAAAAGATAGGAGTGTTCATCCAGGGCCACATAGTAAATGTCAGAACCCCTGAAAATTATAATATATTATGTATTTTCAAAAGTTATCCCCAAAAGAGACACAAAACAAAACATTTCAGCTTTCATATTTATATGTGTATATTTTACCACAAAAAAAATATCAAATTTATTGCCAGCCAATTAAATAAATAATTTTTAGGAATAGTCTGTTCATCATTGGCGAATTCAATGAAAAATTTGCCAATGCAAAGCTACGGTGTGTTTAATTTTGGAGACGTTTATTATGTAACACAATCAGGCTATGTCCAACAAAACGACGCCTATCGTACAGTAAACACATGCGTTTCCGTCGCCACGTATGAAATATCAATTTTTGTACCTTTGCATTTTGTTCTCCAGTCAAAATTCACAATCGCGTTTAGTACGGTAACCATGTTGTCTGTTTGATACGTATAGGTCATCATAGGGTGGTCACTGTGGTTACTGATTTTCTAGGGCTACAATAAGGTAAAAGTCATCATGACCCATATATTTACGCCTGTTTTTAATAATGTAGATCAAAGACCTTGTTACAGGTGGTGACCTGATCCCCTCCCAAGTGACGTTGCAAGGGGCGTACGACATAACCAACTCGATGGTAAAAATACCTGCATATTAAAATCCTATGTGCGACCTCCTTCGTTCTCCGATGTATTGCTTTACCAGAGTTGACGTTCAGTGAGCATATTATAGCATAATTTGTATTTTGTACCCCTTCAGAGTGTCACAATTGACTTGATTCGAATGTATTATTATTGTTATTATTATTGTTATTATTATTATTATTATTATTATTATTATTATTATTATTATTATTATTATTATTATTATTATTATTATCATTATTATTATTATTACTATATTTTATTGTTCTTACTGTTGTTATTAATGATATTATTCTTATTGATATTATCATCATGTTGAGAATTGAACTCTAGAGGGACACTAAAAAGTATGTGCATATTAATTAAGTACATGCATATTTAAAAGGGAAACACGTCATAATGTTGGACCCTGGGAGATAAGGTGGTAAATTTTTGTCTAGGTCTCGATTGAGAGCAGATGTCTCTAGGGAGGCCTAAGTTAAGGGCCTTAGATGTGAAAAGCCGAGTTGGACAAGGTCCATGAAGATTGGCTAATGTTGAGTACAGGCAGATATGTGCTATATAAGGTGACAAACTAAGGTTTCGGTCATAATTAGCAGCAGTAAGTTAATTATTTATATTGCATTGTATTATAGCAGGCCTAATGACGTGTATCGTGCAGGGTAATGTTACCTCATGCTAATGACGTTCCAAGGGAACTCATAGAATTGTTGAAATGCGATTGGACCCAAGAAAATATAT